GCGAACTGGGACCTTAAGTTGGGGTATTCAGGTAGGTACGATGCTAGTTTATCCAAGGATGAGCTCATAAATCGAAAACTATCTATGAAGCGAAACTGAACGGGATACTCATCAATATGCTTGGTGAATGAGATGTATTTTTCTTTTGTTATGGGTAATAAATCAATTGATCCCTTCATTCTGTTGGCAATGTCTGCTATGATAAAATGAGCATCATAGCCGCTCAAGTTATGAAACACCACAGATATCACGTGAGAATCTTGGTGATTAAGGTTGCAGGGTGCTGAATGGGCAGGACCTCGGTAGTTGTTGTTGGGAATCAAGTGGTTATGATCTCGAACTTTGTCACTTGGTGAAGTGAAAGGCTGCTCGCAGATGTGGCAATTTGTGGCTTTCTGAAACTCTGCTTCTTCTGTTTGAGTCATGTCAATATCATATGGACACCAGAACACAGTTGCCACATTTTCCGCTAACTGGGACATCTCATCTGCGAACCACTGCATACATTCTGCACCTCGGAATGACTTGTAAAAGGATAATGAATCATCATATGAACACTTTAGGTAATATCCTACAGCAGCTGGAATATGTTGTTGAGTTCTTTTAGAATCTGCTGTAGGTGCTAGGACGCTTTCCAAGTCCGCATATACTATGAAAGGCGCCCTTTCCTTGTTCTTGTAATTTTTAAATCTTAATATATTTTTTCCAATTTCTGGCATCTTAATTTTTGTGTCATTGATCTTTGCACAGTCTTCCTGATGCTTTTCAAGCTTATCTTGCGATCTGAAATAGTGCAGGCAGCGGTCGCAGATGTGTTTTTTCCCATCATGCTTGCTCAGCTGTTTGGATACTAGTCTGGAGAGATTCTTTATCCAGCAAAAGTGAAATTTGGTTGGAGCGTCTTCTCCCCCATCGCCATATTTATCTTGTATCATCAATAAATTCACATGTTTGTCTTTTTTATTACGGGTTAAATATGTCGGTAGGACTTTAAAGGTTTTTCCTGATTTTTCAAGCTTGTAAACATTCACAGATAGGCTATTTTGTTTCTCGAAATTGGGAATTTGTTTCAAGGTCATCGGAAACTGAATCCCTTCCAACTTTAGCACTTCTCTGAAATCTGGGTATTTGCTTAATCGTTGAGGATCTTTTTCCGCTGGAAACAATGCCGAAACTACTGCCCATGCAAAACATCTAGCATCATTGTTCTGCACGTTTATACAGGCCTTTTTATGTTTTATTGATGGAGGTAGCTCGATGTAGGAGGATCCTAGTTGAGGCGTGAATTTGTTAATGTTGATGCCCAAATTAACAATTTTCTTCAGCGCCCAACCACTGTCACGTTCTTGGAACTCTTCTAGTTCGATCATAATTGGTTCAGTGACCTTTTCGTTGAACCACTGGTCGAGATTGGTGTCTAAGTAGATGGGGGAGTTGGAGGTGGTAAAGTACTTGAATTCTTTAAGTACTTTACCACCTTTCACGATTTCGAATTCGCCACAAAACGTCGCATTCACTTTTATGCCCTGTTCTTTTTTGAGAGCGTTGTAAATACGTCTCCTAAAAAGTTTCTTACAATCCGCTAAAAATGTCTGAGGATCTTTATGCTTTAAATTTGAGATGACTCCAGTCCTTATTCTGCTGTTAAAAGCAGAAATGGAGTCATCCCAATGCACCCGCTCCCCCGCTTGTTCAGGACGTGATGTAATTCCCGCACCCTTCTTCAGCATTGTCTTAAATTGATTTCTAAGAGTCCTTATGTGTCGGAGTGAGGCCTCCAAGTGCTGCTTTTCACCCATGGTCTTTGCTCCTTTGAGAGCCTTGTTGAGCTTGCGGGCTCCTCGAGTACACTCGAGGAGCCCGTCCCTCACAGCCTGGTCCGTATTAGCGGGAGTAATGAGCCCGAGGAGAGCAGCTATATGTCTCAGCATTGCAGCAAAGTCTGGCATCATGTTATCTGTAAAAGATTAAAAAATTTAGTTTTGATCAAAGGTGTTAAAGTAATATTTTATGAAATCAAAAAATTGTTATCTCTCAAACTTATAATTTAGTAGAACAATCTGCTAAATTAAAGAATAATCTACTTAAATAGTTGACCACACCTTTTGGCTACGTTTTACATCTGAGATAATAACCACAATTAAAAAATCCTTATACTTAAATCCAAAAATAAACTGTTATCAAAAAAATGTTATCAAAAATAAATTAACTCACCTTTGAAAATATTTTCAAGAAGAAACACTGTTTTCAATAAAACCACGAAACACAGATAAAAATTCGGGATGATTAGAGCACCTAGTTATCTCTATGACGCACTAATCTCGAATGAGCATCCCGATTAAGCGTAGCCCTTTTAACCTGTAGGACGGACGGAGGACAGAACGGTTTTCGTGTAACTGATGAGAAAGGCCCCCCAATCTATCAGGTGCTTGAAGACGTTTTCCATAAGAATCAATGTAAAAGTGTAGCAATTATCGGTTTTTACCCAATTTGAACACATTTTCCCATTTAAATACATGCATTTTTAGTTTAAAGCTTTGCGGTTTTGTTCAAGATACGATGTGGGTGGTGAGTCATCAATGCAATTATTTCATAAGTGAAAAATGGTGCAAGTTAAATGATACCATCCAGCAATAAACTTGATTTTTCGTTTTGGGGGCTTCTGTTACAAAAAATTTTGGTACAGGAACGTTTTCACTTCTATGAAAAATGTTTTAGGGATAATTTAAAATTATTTCGTCAGTTATCAGTTAAATGATGGCTGCAAAACCGCAAGGTCTTCCTGTTGCCAAATTTCATGGAATAGTTATTATTTTGATCGAATCCTCAGTTTTTTCTCTGAGGATCTAGGATCTTTTTTTTTTTAGATAACATAAGTAATTGGAATCATTTTTGGATATAAAATTATAATCAATATCTTTTCAAGGTTGGACTAGACTCCAGAGAGATAACGCCTCTTATAGCTTTACTTAACCTTTTCAAATTAAACAATAATTTGCTTTTTTTTGGTTTATGAATCGAAATGATGTGTCTCTTATTTGTTGTGATTATTATTGATTAGTTTGATTATTGGAGCATTGGAGCCAAATGATTATGTATGAGAATGATGAAGCGTGAGGGTGCTGGATTGCAAGTGTGTTTGTATGTCCGATGCGGTCATTGACCCCGCCTTAAAGGCTGTGTGCAAGCTAGTGTGATCGACTGAAGACACAGGCTTTGGAAAGGTGTTGGGTTATAGCGACGGTAGCTGGCGCGCTGGATGATGTTTACATGAAATATATTTTATATTATAAAGTAAAATTATTTTGTCAGTTATCAGTGTAATGATGGCGGCAAAACCGCATGACTCGATTGGTATAGTGTTCATTTTTAAATTAAACTTTTAAACTAATCTATGTTTCTTAGATATTTTATAATTACATCGCTAGTTATTTAAAATTGTTCTTGCGAACGTGTAAAAAAATTTGGTCTTGTCTGCTGAATTTCTTGAAATAATTGATTGGTACCTCTTGTTGATATCACCCAAGTAAGTGAAATTATTTTGAAATAATTGGCTATCTGTGTTATCAGTAAAAACCGCAACTCTTGTTTAGACTCGTCAACTAGTTTTGAATTGAACTTTTATAGTAATCTATGTTTTTCAGGCATTTTATAATTACATCACTTATTGTGAGGTGCTCATGTATTAATGTTACTGAATTTCTTGGAATAATTGATTGAAACCTCTGATAAAAAAATAACTAGGATCTTTTTCGATACTTAACACTCTTTTTATATTATAATCAATTTTTTCCAAGGCAATGGTTGTCTATTAGATGTATGCACTGAGCTGATAATAAAACCCAGTTTCCTACAAAACCATAACAAAAATAATTTGTGTTTGTTGTGCGAGAGAGAGAGAGAGACAGGTATGCACGGTCTATGTCCACTCGATGGATTCGCTGAATATTTTACACTTTTTATTTCCTCGACAATTATTTCACCCACATCAATTTTAATTAGTAACGCCATTATCAGTATGAGGTATGCGGCACACAAAGTGCCAATATGTCCGAGGTAACTGACCGCTCCTCATGCTTGCATGTTGTCTCCTCCTTTTCACCATTTATTATCAACTGCTAGAATAGCCTAGTGGTTGCTGCAGCGGGCTTTCAAGCTGGCGACGGGAGATCGGTTCTCAGTGGTTACCGACTTTTTTTTTAATTTCTATTTCGTGATGCTGTAGCTGCGTGGGCCTATTATATATGAGAGCGGGAGAGAGAGAGAGGTATGAGGTACGAGGTTGAGGTATGAGAGCAAGAGAGCGAGAGTTACGGCATCATCAGTATCAGGTAGCAAGTATGTGTGGCTGCCTCGGCGGCTACTGAGGTAGTGCGAACGGACGATGCAGACCTGGGCGCTGGAAAGGGGGCGGGGCCTAATTCTAGGAAATTTTACCCCCACTCCAAAACGGTCCGAAAACTGGCAGAATGGACCTGAAATTTTCTTATGGAGATTTACATGGGAAAATGACCGATTTTGCGCCAGTTCTGTCCTAGCACCTTTACTAAAGGTCAATAAAACTTGGACATTGATATTGAGAAACGGTTGTTTATTTGTGATGCATTGGTTTTGATTTTGATAAACATTAATGATTCAAGTCAGATAAATCGCATAATATGAAGTGAGACAATACTTAGGCATTAATATAAACTTACCCAATTCCATGCGTTTCATTTTTCTCTATTTGAAAAAATTCGGAAGAAATGAAAAATTCAAGTGCCTGGAATAGACAAAAATTGGAATGGAAAATTGAGAAATGGGAGAAAAATTTAAGCCGAATTGAGAAAAAAGTGCTAGACAATAGACAATAAAAACCTCTATTTATCCAATTTCATGGATTCGTCGAGGCAGACCAGGTTACCCTAAAATCATCTACAATTTGTATTACCTGATGTCATGTATAATCACTCAATTTTTAGTCTGGACATTATTGATGAATACTTTTCATGTTTTTGTAGGAATTAAGCCCTCCATGTGAAGCCGAGGAATACCAGCGACTACCTCTGTTCAGCAGTCCGTCGATGCCTAACATCTCTCTAGCCGCCCATCACGTGTTCAGTCCCGATCTGTCGGAGGCGGCGGTGCGGGCGGCGTGTACCGCCCGCCTCGGCATGCCCTTGACCGGGCAAATGCTGCCGGGCACTCTGCCCTTTTACCCTTCGTTGCCCGCTATCGATAACGAGCAAGACGAAACGCCGCTGGATACTATTAGTGAATTACAGGTGAGAGTCTAGTAAACTTGGTGTAATTTTTCAAATTAAGCATTTTAACGTTGCAAAATATATTATTTAATTTTCAAACGTCATGTAATAGATATTTATCTTATTAGGAGTAGAAGTAATACTTATGTGATGCGCATGGAAGTTTGAACGCCGAGTGCAGCGAGGCGAATCAAATCCATGCAAGTTATATAAAGAATACTTATACTCCGAATAAAATACAATATTTTATTTTCAAACTATCTTTATTCCAAAAAGTGTACAATTTTTAATTGGAATTATGACATTCATATTTAGAAGGATCACCTTTATAAGTACCTATACCTGAGCCGCTTTCCAGTGCCTAAATTGTTAGAGTATCATGCTCCTGGAGTGTGACGCACTTGAACTGTTCCACACAAGCAGCACTGGAACGCTCCCGTCTTAACCCCCACCATTTCGCACCTCAGGAGCATGAAACACCGAAATAAAGGTTGGTGCACAAGGGGGCAGGGGATAACAGAAATGAGTAAAGTTTGTTTCACCAGGGTTTGTACTTGCCACCAGCATTTGTCTTCCTAGTTTAACAAATAAAAATTGACTGAAACAAATCAATGAGATCAAAAACGTCGGTCGGTTCTTAAACCAGACGTCATTTATTTTAATTTGTCAAAAAAATTGAATGTTTCATATGAATTAATCTACGACAACCCTTTTTTGTCAAGTTTCAAGATCAAGTATGAACCCTGGTGAAACGAACTTTAGTTCAAGTGTACGACACTCTAAGCACTGGAACGCGCAAAATAATTGTGGAGCACTCCTGAGCTGTTCAGGAGTAACTCAAATGGGTCACTGGAAACTGGAAAGCACCTCTGTATGTACAGATGAACTACTTTAAATTGCTATAGGAAAATATGTATAACGGCGTATAAATGTTATACCTACTCCGCCGGAGTATAACATTTATACGCCGCTCAAGCTAAAAAAAGTAATTGAAGTGACTCACAGAACACATATCCTCACGGATAGAAAAAAAAGCTTATGGCCGTTTCCACCAACGCAAATTTAAGTTTACTTAACGTTAAGTGCCGCTTATATTATAATTTTGTTTCCACCAGTCTCACCTAGTCTCATCAAGATAAGCTTAACTAAACATAGACATTTCTAGGCTTATTCCTCCCTTAACAAAGTGGGGATGATAAGCGCAAGCAATTTGCATCATACCTATATGTTTTGTTGACATAACCAAACGTTAAAATTGAATTGAGATAAATAATGATCTCAATTTTCTAATGTCTGGTGTAGATACTCCGTCTGTTTTCATTTTTATTTTCGATTATGTTCTCATTTTTTGATGTTAGTGATAATAGCAGCACTTTTTCCTTTATTGTATAGTTGGGTGTCCGGCTTTTTTGAATAAACTGTCCCTGTTTGTTTCTCTTCCCCGACTCTACGCTGCTCTAGACACCTTCGTGTTTGTGCACACGCAATGCAGAATGCAGGATAAACTACGAATATCTAAACCTCTCCTCTATGAAATAAACCGAACCTGGACAACAGCAACAACTATTTTTAATATTATTATTTTCATCTAATAAAAATTAGCGGGAAACGTCGAATGACAGATAACATTGACACGACTTGTATGTAAAAACGGAAAAGTACGCAAATCTTTCAATTAAAATTCAATGTTGCCAAAGCTTCACGCCACTTAGCTAAGCTTGCACTCAAAAACTATGGTGGAACGAAATTATATTTGAGCGTCCATTAACTTTTAAGGGCTTCATAGTTAATCAAAGCTTAGTTATAGTTTGGTGGAAATGGCCATAAATGGCCATAATGGAACGCGGGGCCTAAAAAAAAAGCTTCGGATCGCATCCGCTTGGGGACGCTGGAGTAAAACAGAACTACAGGTGCGGAATGAACGCCACCAGAAAATATGTTGATAATTTACTTTGGCAGTTTACCTGTTACCTATGTTTAAAAAAAATATGTCAGATATGTCATAATAGTTTTGAATAAGAATTCGTCTTGATGTTGGTGTGCAATTTAATTCCAGATAAATGTTTCCTAAATTGAAAAAAGAATCAGATTTTACACAAAACACAAGAAGTTTGGCTGTTTTTGCTCTACTCGGAAGAAAAATCCGTCAATATTCAATACCGAGGAAAAAGTTTTGTTTGGACTTCAATTCAAAATCAGTTCTAAATTGGACTGCGCTTGCGCATTTGGTCATATCAAACCTATATAGAGAAATGAGAAAGCGTAGTTCAATTCTGAACTGAAGTCCGAATAAATCTAATATTGGAAATATTAACATTGGAAGAACTATTTTGAAAGCTGATTTGATTACAGAAACCTTTATTATAAATAGTTCGGATCGCATCCACCGCGCCGTGACGGCGCATTGTTCCCCAAAATTTTATTAGGCAGTTTGCCTTCTATCCGTGAGGATATGTATTCTGTGAAGTGACTGTTATACCTTGTCAAAATGATCACAAAAATACCTGTTATATGAAGTTTGAAAATAAAAGTAATTTTTCTACAAACGTGTTAAAAATGCAATTTTTAACACCCCCTCGAAGCATTAAAAATGTTACTTTATTGCACTAGTGTTAAAAGTCTTTAAGGCACTAGTGTTAAAAATGAAACATCAAAATTTGAAAGCAAACGTCAAAAAAAGTTTGTATTTTTAATTATTTACATTAATATTAATGGTAAAATTTGAACAACTGAGGAAGCTCCATCGGCCGCCTCCTCTATATTTTTCAAGGGCTTGATGCAACCCTCTTTTTCTTGTGTATTTTGTTGCATTTTTAGCAAAAAGCTTATTGACCACGATAGACCATACGACAGACTTTCAAGAAACTGACGAGACATTTCATTACCTGTAAAACAAGGTGCTGGTTGTTTGAATTTTTTGACAAATATCAAATTCAATAATTTTACGTAGGAAAGATGCTTCCAATTTATTATTCATTTAAAAATCCAATTTGTCACTGGTTATTGCTTGTTATTGCCGTTTGTAGAAAAAATATTGTATGATATTTGTGTTAAAAGTATTTTTAAGGCACTTATGTGAATTGCAGAATTCGCTTCGCTCATTCTGCAAACTTTCACATGCGTGCCTTAAAAATGTACTTTTAACACTTATATCATAAATAACTATTTTGGGATCATTTTGACAAGGTATAAGTCAGTTCAATGAACTTTCAGCTTGAGCGGCGTATAAATGTTATTATACTCCTGGAGTATAACATTTATACGCCATTATACATGTCTTCCCATGGCGATTTCAGGTAGTACACCTCTATCAAAGAGCTTAAAGAGGTGATACTTCTAAATATGAATGTCATAATAGTAAATGTGCTAGGAGAGTTCTGGCGCAATTTCATCCATTTTCTCATAAGAAAATCTAAGGTCCATTCTGCGACTTTTTGTACCATTTTGGCTCATAGAAACCACATAGCACCTCGTGACTTAGTTTCCCATTCAAGGTACCTCGTAGTGAGGACGACGTAACTAATAATAAAATCCATCTCGTGCTTTGTCTAGTTGCAGATGTAAGTTGCACGAGGCGAGAGCCAACTTTTAGGTTATGAGTTTTAGGTTATCTAAATGGGGCCCGGAGAACAAAGCGCCAGAAATTGGGGGCCCGTAATACGGGTCAGTTCAATAGCTGTATCAGACCAATCTCTAGACCTGTATAGCTGTATACATACCTGTCTTTAGACCTATCAAGCTGTAGACAGACCTGTCTCTAGACCTGTATAGCTAGTCTTGAGACAGGTCTGTATACAAGTCACGAGGTGCTATGTATGTTCGATGAGCCGCTCGGAGCAAGGTACAGTCAGATTTTCTTATGGAGATTTACATGGGAAAATGGTTGAAAGTGCGCCAACTCTGTCCTAGCCCCTTTACTCATAATTTAAATTACAAATTGTACACTATTTGGAATAAAGATCTTTTGAAAATAAAACATTATATTTCATTCGGAGTATAATTATTCTTCATGTGACTTACATGGATTTGATTCGCCTCGCTTTGCTCGGCGTTCAAATTCATGCGCTTAACATAAGTATTACTTATACTCCTACTAAAATAAGCAAGGGCGCCCACAGGGAGGGTCAGGGGGGTCACTCGACTCCCCCTGGAAATTTCTTAAATTTTAATTATTTTCTATATAGGTATATTATATTGTAGGTCCGATGATGCTCGTATGAGCGAAACGGGCATACTTGAATTCGGCCACAAACCAGGTAGCTGCAGTAATCCTACCTTTGAATTCGACCAAATCCTGAAACCCAACCTACTTCCCATAAAACTTACCTTATGATGTTAACAGATTTCGCATTGCATAAGATTTAATAAATCTAAAAAAGTGTAAATATGTATTTTGATGCGCAAAATAAAAAGATCTACCAAAATGACTATGGAAAGATTCACAGGCATTTGTTTTCTTATCCAGGTCTATCGAGGCATGTGCCATGTGTCGATGAGATAATCTGAAAATTTAACTAGAACTTCGTGATTCGGCTGAATAGCTATAACAACTTGAAAACAAAGAAAACGCTAACTTCTTGATTCTCCAAAAACATCATTCCGAAACAATTATGTAACGATTTACCGATTTCTGAATCTTTTTTTTCATATTCAATGCTTAAGCCTAAGTTTTGGATCTTCCTCTACCATGCCTGAGATATCTATATCTCAGTGTACCGATTTGCATATTGATAAATTGTCACCCTTTCCTTATTCCGGAACTGGTCAATTTTGTGGCTGAGTTCAAGGATCCCGGAGCTAAACACATGTCACTATTAAGTGAATCAAATAATAAACAGTCTGTGTATTAACATGTGGCTTTTCAAATTATGTTTTTGCTTAAATTATGCATTGCAAGTGTCACATTCAAATGGATAAATATCCGAATGTGTTAGTTTGTGAATCTTTAAATCGGCTATCCATTTAAACTTTGGCCTTGCAAGTGTCACATTCAAATGGATCGATATATACCCGAATGTGTTAGTTTGTGTATCTTCAAATCGCGTTTCCGTTTAAATTTTGATTTGCAAATGTCCCATTCAAAAAAATTAAATATTCAAGTGTATCAATATGTGTTCCTTCAAATCGCCTTCTCTTTTCAATTTTTCATTGCAAATGTTACATTTGAAATTCTCCTCATCCGAGTATGTTAATATGTGGCTTCTCAAACTACGTTTGTGTTCAAATTTTGCATTGCATGTGTCACATTTAAAAGGATAAATATCAGACTGTGTTAGTTTGTGTCTCTTTAAACAGTCTTTTCCTTTGAATTTTGCTTTGCAAATGTCACATTCAAAAAGAAAACTATCGAAGTCTGTTGATATGTGACTTTTCAAATTACCTTTTTGTTTAAATTTTCCTAATTTAAATTTTTCTTTAAATTTTGCATTGCATATGTTGCATTTAAAATTCTTCTCGTCCAAGTGTGTTAGTGTGTGTCTCTTCAAACTGCATTTTTTTTAAATTTTGCTTTGCAAATGTTGCATTTAAAATTCTGATTCTGCTTCTAAAATGATAATTTAGACTGAAGTGCCCTTTTTTACGCATAAAAAATTTATTCAATTGATTTTGACCCCCCCTACATATTTTTCTGCGGGCGCCCCTGAAAATAAGTATCTATTTTCACTACTTTTTTGAAACATATAGTCATTATTCAATCTATTTTTCTAGGAAAAAATTGAATTTTTTTCCCTAGGTGAATAACATTAATAATGAATACAAACCTATGTCAATAGGTAATGGAAATCACGTCATGACGTATCAGGTTTCTATTGATTTAATTTCAATTTCAATCTGTCAATTAGGACAAAAAAAGATTCTGTATGTACCGTTGCGTCCATTGCAACCAAAAAAAAGTAGAACAACAAAAGTTTCGAAAATATCCTGGCCTATTATGCGATAATTTAATTTCTAACCAAAACTTACATTATTTTGGCATTTTTCCACCCGTTTTCAACCTAGAATCATGTTTTTCTCCTAGTGCTACTAGGACTCCTAGTAGTGGTGAAAAAAATTATATATTTTATACAGGGTGTTTCAGAAATGGTTAGGAACTTCCTATGAATATGGGATATGGGTCCGGAAACGTTTCGTTTCATAAAACCAACCAAGAAGAAGCCACCGCGTGATCTTTTATCTCACTTCAAATGGACCGAAGGCCCTAGAGAGAAGGAAATTTGCTTTCTTCGTCAGTGATGACGTCAAGGGTTCTTCTTAGTTAGAACCCAAACTAATCCAAAAAAAAAAGATCAACTCCTCGATTTATCGTGAAAAGTGAAGATTGTGGCCATTTTTGAAAAAGAACAAATATATACGCTCTGCACAATATTTCAGCTGTTTATCTTAAAAATTGAGAAATATAATACAAAAAACATTTTATTTTTTTAAATTTCTAGCTCCAATAACTCGGAAATAAAACATTTCCGGACCCATATTCATAAGTATCTTTTTTCCTTATTTTGACGAGTTATATCCACCCTTAAAGTTTGTAACACCATTTCTAAAACACCCTGTATATCTATATACCTTGCGCATTATCAACCTCGGCGCTTCGCGCCTCGATCTATAAAAGCGGTCGGTATACAGGGTCTTCTTGAATATCATGTACAAACGGAAGGGGGTGATTTTCTGGTTTATTTTATGACTAAAATTTCCAACAAACATATCCGCGAACGCTTCGTTATACCGATCTACAAGGTGTTAAAATTTTAAATTTTGTTTAGATTTTTCCCTATAACTGCTGCAATTTTTGAGGGATTTAGCTCAAATTTGGAACATAAGTTATGCAATAGGAGCTGAATGATTGCACTTGTCAAACGTTTGCCAGAATTTACAGGGTGATGTTTTTTCAGGGGTCATGTTCCCTTTTCTGTCCTTGAACTTTTTTGCAGTGCACCGCTGGTAGATTCTAAAACACAGAATAATTTTTCTACCTTATTCAGAAACTTTTTGTTCTCTTGTAGTTTTTTCGAAGCACCGACCCTTATCGAGAAAAAAATTAAAAAACAAATCTCTGTAATTAGCTAAATGAAACTACAGTGACTCAATAAACCTTTTCTACCTATAGTGGCGACATAAGAGGTCCCGTCGCTCATTTTCAATAGGAATCTAGAAGAACGCTAGAAGTATAAGACGCGCCGCCATATTCTTGCTCATTTTCAATGTGAATACTTACCTTGTAGATCGGTATAACGAAGCGTTTGAGGATATTTTTATTTTATTTTCCTTTTCCGTTTGTAGATGATATTTAGGAATGTATAATGACGAACTTCTCTATCGGTATATAATCTACTATTATTGATAGACTTTTTAGTAGTATTGTCTTTGCTACTACCCAAATCTAAATTACACATTATCAAGTACATAAAAACAACAGTATTGCAACAATCATCGGAGATTAAAAGAAATAGAAAATTGGTAAGTATAGAAAATGTGTAATAGATTTCAAAACTTGTATTTCTCTAATATTTTTACGTTAAATTAACACACAATTATTCAAATTATCACCAACTGCAACATAAATCACTAGAAAACCGCAATAAATCAGTAAAACGTTGAAAATTGGAGACACACATAATGTTGCTTTTTACTTAAATCGACACAAATTTATGGCCAACCAGTTTCTATATACAAATAGTTTGAGACATGTTTATAGACATCTTCAATTTCCTTTAGGAACCTCAAGTGCGAGGAGTGATAAGACCGTTGGGCAGGACGCAGTCGTCGCCGTTACCTCTCGGACATCCTCTTTTGAGAGGTCCGTTACCTCCTGAACCTGAACCTCCGCAACCGCCTCCCGAAGAACAAGAACAAAGGGATTTGGAGTTACGAGCAAATGAATCCAGAAGGTAACTTTTTTTCTTGTTACCTATTTCAACTAGATTATTATTATTCGTGTAGGTTTTTATTAAACGTGATTTTTTTCAGAAAATGGATATAGAAATTTCAAAAATATCACTAGAAATTGTCTTTATTAACCGAAGAAATCGATGTATATTTTATATTTTTATGGAAATCATTAGAAAACAAAGGAACATTAGTTTAAATTACATGGGAAACAATAAATATTACGTGAAAACATCTTTCTCTCGATTTTGGTGTAAGAATGTCATATTCTTGCACGCAATATCGTTGAACAATGAAGCTCATTCTTCAACGATTTTTAGTGACATTTAGTTTTCAAAGTATATGTATTGTCCGTCGTTTTTAATCTGACACTTTTCGTAGGAGGAGCGAGGGGGTGAAGCATAGGGCAAAAACAGGTGTGACGTTAGGTGATCATTGCCATTCTTATGTTGGGTGTTACCAGCTCACATTCCTTTGGAGTATCAGATTAAAATCGACCTATTGGTACCTTCAAAATTGTCAAACCTTCTAAAATAATAAAATCCACCTGTCAGCCTATATCGGAACGTACTTAATAAATCGGAATCATACTTAATAGTTAAATGGACATGCATGGAAATGGAAATGGAAAAAGGAAATCAGTGCAAATCATATCAGAATTAGTGGAAATCATATGGGAAGTCTTGTCAACTCCCCTCTACCTTTTTTATTATTTGACATTGTAGAAAGAAGTGTCCCAAATAAAAGTTTTAAGGTTGAAATTAGATTTTTAAAAAAACTCACTTTCACATATACAGGGTGTTTCAGGAAAGCTGGTCGTGGACTACTTTCTTATTTTAAATGGAATACCCTGTATATTATTGAGAATAGTTAGACTTTCTAACTTATTATTGAAATTCCCGAAAAAATCTTAAATCTTCTATAATAATTATTCGATAATAATCATTTTCCTGGCCTTCATATAATATTAAAATAATATTATATGATTGAAGAGCTTCCTTTGCGGTTATAAAACGAAACAATTAATTAATCAAACTTTCCTGGGATTGCGCTTTTTGCTGTTAGAATCCGTACAAACAGGATTTTCGATTCTGGTGATGTTTTGTGGTTTCAATTTGAAATATGCATGCTTAGTTATTTTCCAGTTTCAAAAATTTCGTGTAGTTGAAAATCTATTTAATCATTACATTTTTCTATTCTAGATCGGGCATTTTTTACATCACAAGACAAGGGTACATATTTATGTAAAGTATACTGATATCAGGAACCAAAATACCTACGTCATTCTTGATAAAAATAAATTAAATAGAAGCAAATAACTTATGTTGTTTTCATCCAAAAATTATTAGCTTTCAAAAACAAGAATTAACTCAAGTAGAAGCAATTTTTGATTGATTTTTATCTCTATAGCAACTCTGGGGGGGCTTGCAGGTGCTATCTGAAATTCTTTTTGCTTCTTTTTGTCAGAGCGTTCTTGATTGGTGCAAATCGCCAACAATCAGGTTTCTGACTATTTTCAACTAATGAAATTCGTTCTGACTGGCTTGTGATTTCTGTGAGAACAGACCTAAATGTGCTGCATCTTAAATGCAACTTAAATATTATTAATAAAGAAAGTGAAATCTACCACTTGTTATATTGAGTAAATTTAGATTTTTCTCTCGTTTATTTGGTCTCCTTCAAACCTATTTTTCTGATGATATTGGTAGGTATGTTTTCGCTTATGTTGCACTGATGGAAGCTAAATAACCTCGGAACCGTTATGCAATTAGCGCAGCATCCAATGAATGAAAACTCTGTTTCTTTCCATAATCTTACTACGGAAAATCACGCGCATTTTGTAATCTGCGGCTGTGACCAGAATCAATTCAAACTTATAGTAAATTGGAATAGTTTTTGAGCCACGCATGAAAGCAGCCTTGAATAGCCAACATTACCATTACCAAATGAGTTTTTATAAGAAAAACCTTGAAGGAAAACCTAATTTTTCTAAGTGAAATATGAATCCTTGTCTAGTGACCTTTTCGAGAACCTTAACAAACCCACAATTATAATATTGCGTAAAGTCTGCCTCGCTCAATCGGGAATATGTAGTCGAAAAGGTTCTCCGGGAAAGCGTGCGGCCTTGGAGGCGGTTTTTCTAAAAATAGCGCCAAATCAATAAAGTATACGGCGACCACCTACCGGGACGAAAATAGAATTTTCCGACAAATCGGTTGCAACGAAGCTGATCCAGCGTGGGCGACGATTTTAGACTTGTATTTGTCCCTATATTGCAAATTGGTTTGGTTCGTTAAGGACGTGGTTTTCCGTTTTATTGACTTGCTATTTTTTCTGAAATTATTGGAGAACTTACCTATGAAGTTTTTAGTTCGCTAGGTAAATGTTTGTTAACCTTCTCTCTACAGAAAGACTAACTATGAAATCAGAAAGTACGACTAATTTTTAAAGTATACAGGAAAATACCTTGCAATTTACTTCTATTACTAGATTGACAACTTGTTATGAGGCTTCTCTAATCTCAAGAAGCAAAAAGAATTTACATTGCAACTGCATACCCCACAGAGTAGCTATACAGATGAAAATCAATCTTAAATTGCTTCATTAGGTTTCTTCTTAGAGTTAATTCTTGCCTTTGAAAGCCAATAATTTTTTGATTTGCTTCTATTAGACTATTTGATTTATTTTTATCAAGGATGACGCATTTTGGTTTGTGATTATCATTATTGTCCATTTTGATTAAATATGTCCCTTGTGATGTTTTTTTCACATTCAATAGATTTTTTTAATCACATTTAACTATGTAGGCACACAAAATTTTTGAATCATTTTTGAAATGAAAATGATAATTATCATAGTCACCAGTTGTAAACATTTCAAAATGACACTGTCGTTAATAAAATATTTATTTATTTATTATTTTATTTTCATATAACGAAATGATTCCATATAATTTGCACTGATTCCCATAAAAATACACATGGGTTTTCCAGTGGTGGATAACAGACGATTTTCATTGATTCGCTTGTCATTTACACTATAACTTTTTTGGATTCAAGGGATTCTCTTTGATCTTTATTCTTCAAAAGTATAGCACCAAAATATGTTTAAAAAATCTAAACTGATACCGGGGTGATTCACAATTATACTAATTTCTTAGGGAAAATAGTTAATTGTGCTTGATAATGCTGTATGTAAACAAAATTAACACTCTTCTAACTACGAAGAAAAACTTTTAAAAATTATCTAGAGGAAATGTTAATCTTTTTACTCACAGAACAAGCAAGTTTAATGATAAATTTCAAATGTTCATTAAAATAAATGTAGTAAAAGGAATTCTATCTTCTTGAACAAACAAACATATTAAGTACTTTTTCTGTGATTACCATGCAGAAAAATGAACTAATGAACATCGGTTTGGCAATTACCTTATCCTATATTATTACGAAAAACACGATGAGTGGATCAGCGAAATCACATGTGACGATTCATCTTCAATCACAACAAAATTGAATTTATGAAATTGCAAGTCCATCAGACTTTTCAACAAACGTTTATATTTTTACAAAAACCCGGCAATCTATAAAACTTCCTACCTACTTGCCTTTTTTCAGGTTCATTATTCAAAGTTGTTCAGCGTCAACTGACCGTGTGTGGCCGTCCTTAGTGTAGGACTTAAAATACACATCTTTTAAAATTCACTTATTGATAATTTGTTTGTTTTATCTTTCAGTATACGACCGCTTTCCCGAGCCTTAAGCTCACCGGTGGTCCACCTGGGTGCACCGGACGGAATACCAGCGTTGACGCGTCGACGCGCGTCTTCGGCGCCCACCACAGGCTTGGCGTACGACAGTCAGATGCTCAAGCACGCGTGCCAGTGCGGCAACAACGTTGTGCATCCGGAACACGCCGGCCGTCTCCAAAGTATTTGGTCCAGGCTGCTGGAGACCGGATTGGTGGCGAGGTGTGATAGATTGCGTCCACGGAAGGCGACCACTCAAGAGTTGCAGATGTGCCATTCGGAGACGCATGCGTTGTTGTACGGTACCAGCTCACTTAATAGGTGGGTATTAGAAAGAACTTGTTTCACTCGAATTCAATAGAATTCTTAAAAACTCCATGTCTAAGCGTAAACAGGTTTTGTTTATAGGTACAATGGAATTCTCAGAATTGCATTTTTATAGAATCTGGCCGGACTCTCGGTGCAAAGACTTTTGGAAAATCATATAGACTTGAAGAGGCTGAATCACAAGCACTTATCCTCAGAATTTGCTCAACAACATTCAAAACTTAATGCTGTCAAAATTTTATTTTTGTGGGAATAGTACACATCCAAGAGTTTTATGTCCTACCACTCCTACCAGAAAAAGCATTTGTCGGAGCTGTAAAAAAAGGGGCATTTTTCAAAAGTTTGTTGAGACGTAGGTACTAACAAAAGTCAATTTGTTTCTACAATTCTTCGAAATATGTTAGCTACTGCTTCCTTGTCTCAGTAAATCAATAACTAGGGTGAAAATAAATAATACTTTCAGGGATGCTCTCATAGATAGGTAGTTCCCAAATTTACCTCAATAGAATTTTGTTTAAAACCAAGGTATAAAAATACATTCCAGTGGAGGAAGCAATCTATATTGACTATATTCCAAAATATTTGCTGGGTTATTAATAAAACTCTTTGAAAACATACTTTTTATCAGAACTTTGTGCAGATTCGATGTTGTTATTGGTCATGCAATATACAAGAATTGGACTTGAATTTGGTGCATCCAGAGCTTCATTAACTTTATGTAATCTTGCAGTTGCTAAAATTGAACCATTTTTTCTCTTCAGCAATCCTTCTCCTTATTGTAGACCTATCGGTAACTAAGTCAAATTAACATACAGTTGAAGATGGTGAGTTTATATATCTGAAACCTGAAACTGAAAAAGTTGTTATCTGAGGATATCACCCTTCACCCCAAGCACTGGTTACAAAATCTGAGAATCATAAAAAAAGGATGGTTATTGAAATCTCTTAAACCATAAACAATACTATTATGATCTTATACCTAATAAGATATCCCATCAGCTGAAAGATAACTTAGGAACAGATCCATCAGATGGTATCCCAGTTTCTGTCATTAAAAACTATACATATACGTATACATATTTTCTTACTTCTCGTGTATTGTGTGTATAGATCATTATCTACGGGAATTTTCCCAATAATTTGAAGTTGGAAAACTAGTTTTGTAATTCCAATTTTAGAGAGTGGTGACAATTACAAGATGGAGAATCTGCCCAATTTTAAATATTTCTATATTTTCTAAAAATTTTGAGTCACTAGCAACATAATTATACCAGAATAACATGGTTTTAAATATGAAAGACAACTCCACAGTCTCAGGACCGGTTTCTCTATAGCAAGTTACCCCCGGGTTAAACATAACTCCAGGGTAAACATTGCAACTGGACACTCTTACCCTGGAGTCATACTCAAAACCAACCTGGAGGTAATTCGCTATTGAGAAACCGGCCCTCAAACGATAGAATTTGAGCAGACTCTATGTTTGATGCACTGGAGGAGGAGTATCAGGTAGAAGTAATATATACCAACGAGAGTTGATCATAAAATTCTCAGAAAAAAATATTGGAGACATAGGGTTTCGTGTCGTGAAGTTTTAAGGTGGATCCTTCAAAAGTATGTGATACTATCTGCCTTGAGATGCTTTTGAAAAAAATCCAAAACGATGTGAGCTGGTGGCTCCCTATGTTAGCATGCCAATGGTCAACTGACCTCACACCTCACACCTGTTTTTTGCTGTATTTTTCCTCCCCTGACTCCTTATACGGAAAGTGTCAAATTGAAAAAGCTAAACATTACTTAACTAATAGAAAACAGCATACAAATATTGATGGAACTCTGAGTGATAAAAGATACGTCAAAGGCGTATTACATAGGGAACTGCTCTGGGTCCACTACTATTCACCAGGGGCGGCTTCTCAATAAGTGCGCTCGTGCGCGCGCACTGCCTCCAAAAACCAAACAAGAAAATAAAATTAAAATTTTGGAAAGAAAAGAAACTTCAATTAAAAAATACCTACCCAATTTTCTAAATTAGGATAAATATCTACTCATTTTTCTATTTTTAAATTCGCACGAACGGAACGAAAGCGCGCCCTGCGCCTGTCTTGTATATTTTTTTCTCCCGCTTGGTTGTGCTGGTGGTCCGGGTGGTCGGTGTGGAATCGTTCGGCGCTCTGGGTAAATGTGTTTTCTCGCTGTGCGATTCATCGGGAATATACGGTAAGTCGCCCGATGAAAGGGATGCGCCGTGCGCTATTTGAATACACACTTCCAATGTTGTTTCCACTCAATCGAGAATGTTTCGATGTGTTTTCACCATTTTGGCGGTTTGACAACTTTGTTGTTCGCGGTTTTTTTTTTAATTATAAATTTCAATATCAATTATGTATTATGGCTAGAATACAAACATTCAAGCCTCATTTAAATACATATATTTTTGTTTTCGATAATTTTTCCTAAAGTAAAAAGAAAAAAATCAACATACAAAATAAATGTAAAACAGGACGTGGCACCTCCAAAAAATTTTCCAAGAGCGCACAACCACACTAGGTTGCCACTGGCCGCCACTGCCATTCACTATCTATATAAACAACACACACACAACAACAAACACTTGTTAGGCTTGCAGATGACACAGTTCAATTCTGTAAAGCAAAATCTTGCCAACTTTTAAGAATACAGATTGGAAATTACTTTGTGTAACCGAAAAAACTGGTAATAATCAATATGTCAAGTTAACGTTGAATGTACAAAAAACAAAATGTGAACAAAATATATATATGCCATTATCTATCAACATACTACCAAAACTCGGAAACATAAAAATTGCGGATTATAAAAGCTCAGAAATAACAGCTTAATAGTATGGTATCAAAATAAATGACTTCTTTTCGTGTTTTTTAGCTATAACTTAAGTCCTCAGCAATTGAGAATATTATATGTATCTCTCTGGTGCGAAGTCACTTGACGTACGGTGGAAAGGCGTTTCCCATTTGCAAATTTTATAACATACTACAAAAAGGGTTTATGAAGATAGAACATATCTACAAATGCTCTTTTTCTCTGAAAGGCCCTAGATTAGCGTCAGCACAAGAAGCAAAAATAACCCATAAAACTCATGGCCAAAGAAGTTTAAGGTATTATTCACGGATATTGTACAAAATGCTTCCAAATGATATAAAATTAATAGAAACCTTCAATCTTCTAAAGTAAAAGCTGAAAATTTGATATTTTTGAAAGGTAGACAGGCTGAATTGAAATACAGCAAATAAATGCTTTTTAATTCAAATATATAACTTTCAGTTAATCTTTTCACTCCGACTCAACTCAAAATCTGGCTGTTATTTATATAACCAAGACTTTTCTAAAACTCAAACTTTGACATTATCTCACTACAAATCACATACAAACACTGAAATACTCTGCGCTTCAGCCTTCAGTGATATTTTTTTCACGTTTCTTATAATTTGACTTTGAATAAACGTTATTTTATTTTCCAGGCATAAGGTGGATATGAGTAAACTGAGCGCTCTGCCAGTAAACGCTTTCGTCCGACTAAGCTGTGGAGGAATCGGAGTGGACACGGACACGACTTGGAACGAGCACTACACAGCTCCGGCTGCCCGGATGGCCGTAGGCGGTACCGTGGACTTGGCCGTTCGCACCTGGACCGGAGACATCAAAAACGGGTTCGCGATCGTTCGACCGCCCGGGCACCACGCAGAGCCTCAGCAAGCCATGGGTTTTTGTTTCTTCAATTCTGTGGCGATCGCCGCTCGCGTGCTACAAAAAGACCACCGCGTCCATAAGATACTCATATTCGATTGGGACGTGCACCACGGCAACGGGACTCAGGAGATATTCTACGACGATCCTCGGGTTTTGGTGATTTCGATGCATCGGCACGACGACGGGAACTTTTTTCCTGGTACCGGTGGTCCGAACGAATGCGGTACTGGTGCGGGTATCGGTTATAACGTTAACATCGCCTGGTCGGGAGGATTGAATCCTCCTCTTGCAGATGCGGAATATTTAGCCGCCTTCCGTAGCGTAGTGTATCCGATAGCCAGAGAATTTGATCCTGATTTAGTACTCGTTTCGGCCGGTTTCGACGCTACAGACGGACACACGCCACCACTAGGAGGCTACCGCATATCGCCTGCGTGTTTCGGTTTCATGACTAGACAATTGATGCAACTCGCCCACGGTCGCGTGGTGTTAACTCTAGAAGGCGGGTACGATTTGACATCGATTTGTGACGCCGCAGAGGAATGCGTTCGTGTTCTACTAGGTGACACGCCTTCTCCAATTTCTCCACTAGAATTAGCCCGATCACCTTGCGGAAACGCCGCCGTGGCTTTGCAAAAGGTATTCGCCGCTAATGCTTCGCATTGGCCTTGTTTGCGGGAGGCGTCCAAGACGGCTTTGTGCTCCTTCACGGACGCAATGCGTAGTGAGAAGGAAGACAAAGAAACGATTCACGCGATGGCCAGTCTGTCAATGCAGCATCAGCAGCACACGCCGATGGTGACATCGCCGATCAGCCAATCGCCTCCTCGGTTTCATTCTGGCAGCCCGCATCCTGCATGAAAAAGGAAACTTCGTGTCCCAATCAAAAGCGGTTCAATAAATAGAATTCTGTTTGAGTGAGCTCAAAATATGTTTTTGCTGAGTAACAAATAGAATCTTATTTATTGTGACGGTTATGATGGGTAAAGTATTTTCCCGTCAACCGAACATTCCCGCAGTCGCTCAAAGTGACCGCCAGTTTTAAATTTTAGGAACAAATCTATCGCGTGTTTATTTTTGTTAATATATTGACGCAGAGAGATAGGGAGAGAGAAAGTTTTTAATAAAACATTTATTTACTTTAATAATTGTTATTTTTATTTATTATATAGATATGTTTATATTGATGGTAAATATATCCTATTTACACAAATTATATAAATGTTTCAGAAACAAATCGTGATAATAAAAATTGTTTAAAATTTAAAAAAAATTTTTTTTTTTTTTTGGCTCCAGTTGAAATATGTTGCTAAAGTGGTTCAGAAAAAAAAAGGTTTTGGAATATTTACGGAAAAATAGTCAGCTATTTGATCAAGCAACACTTACAAGTACAGTAGTCCATCCCGCAGACTTATTTTAGTTATTTTTGCCTTTTTTTACAAGCAAAAATTAAGCTACATGTGAAGACTAACTACGCTTCCAGGTATCTACCAGCTAGCAAAGTCATAAAAGCAGAAATATATAAAGCCAAGGAAAGAAATGAATTCAAAGCAACACCATATAACAACCTTTCATCAGATTAAAAGATCGCTCCTGCCTCCTAATCATGTTTAGCTATGCTTAGCGGTTGATAGGTCAGGTTTTCAGAGGGCGCCACTGACTGTAGGAAACAATTTAAATGATGTCATTGAAAAGACATCGTCCAAACCAAAATATTTACAGCCATATGCAACATCCTCTTTCAACTTAAAAGCGCTTCTTAAAACTGATCACTTTTAAAAATTTGTATTCTAAGCAGCACCTACACTTTTTTAAAAGTGACCAGTTTTGAAAAGCGCTTTTAAGTTAAAAGAGGATGTTGCATACAGCTGTTAGTGTAATAAAATTAGAAAGTTAGGTAGCATAGTTATTATTTAGATTATACTTATCTTTGGAAAATTGTATTGTAAATTCAGTTAATAACAGCAATTAGTGCGGTGTCACAGTATGCGTTTTCAACGCTGCGACAAGAAGGAATGCATTTTGACCGGATGAACTCTACTTGTCACACATCGCGATCCGTTTTGACGGGATGTTTCGCCTGTCGAAATTTGGTAGTGGTAGATTCATGGCGAATTCATTAGAGATTATTTAAAATAACCTTTCTCATCTCTCTTCGTTGAGTCAAGCTCCTTCAAATTCTTATTCATAATTTCTCCAATTTCCACTCAGGCTTTATCTGTACAGTTTTTGTCTGAGTATTCTTTCTACCTTTTCTGCCATAATGCTTGTTCACCGTAGATGCACTAAAATTTAAAGAAAAACCAGACCACGAACGCAAACATTTCTGAAGAAACAGTCAGGTGTGACTACAAACATACAACTGCGCGTGTTTTTGTTCTATTGCGGTGCCGCCGCAGCATGATGCGGTCCCATCCGGTTTGGGTGCGGTACAACGCTGTATGTGACAACTCTCAATTAATACGATGGGTGTACACCATCCCGGCAAACCGGAGCATTCTTCCTGCAGCAGTGAAAACGCTATGTGTGACACCACCCTTAGCTCTGGAAAGTTATTAAAAACGCAAAAATTTTATGCACTTTAGTGATTAAAAGCACCCTTTCAATCCCTGTTTTTAGGGAGTAGGGAATTAAATTTCACTCTATTTCCCGGGGATTAAAATTTTACTTTATTTCCCGGGGATAAAATGAAACGGGGATCAAAAGTACCCTTTTATTCCCCCAGGAAATAAAGTAAAGTGCATAAAATTCTGTATACACATCAGGACTAAAGTATGACCTATCGTATTCATTCGAAAATAGCACAGTACATTTATATACCTAGGGACTAAAAGTGTTTTTTAATCCCACGACAAATTATAGCCCTCCCTACCTTCAGTATTTTTTTTATCTCGGGATCTAAAGTACCACTTTAGGTATATGTATAAGAACTATTTTCGAATAATGAGATACGTCATAGGTTTTGGGAAGCTCTGATGTCCCAAAAAAGCTGAAATAAAGAATCCAGGAACGTATTTAAAAAAATAAAGTTGATGATTGTGGCCCGAAGACGAAACGTCAGATTTTAAATTTGATGGTAGCATGATGTAGCATCTTGTAGAGGAGAAAAAATGCCAACGATGAAGTGACATTAATTTTGCGATATCATTTCAAATAGAGTCAGAAAAAAATTAAAACGATTTCAGCAAAATTTGGTTTTTTATGGATATCTTCGGAATCATTCGGAATTTCCGAAATATCAAGACATACGAAGCCACTGAGCGCAGTAATGCGCAACTTTTTCCAAATTTAACCAACCCTGTATCTCTAATGATTACGGAGATTCCTGGTAGAGTGCATCCTTATTCAGGACACCCTGTATAGTTATTTCGCAAAAAGTATACTGTAACGCGTGTGAAAACCAATTTTCATAGTCGTGTATTTTTTTCAAAACTTGTTGCACAGCAATAATACTATTCCAAATTCTAGAAAGTATCTTTTTCCTACAGCCGATATGCGTGCGGAAAATGAGTTTTCCCGCACGGTGCGGTAAAACTTTTTTTTTGACATATCAGTGCGGAAAAAGTTTTTCCGCATGGCTGTCAGTGCGGAAAAAATTTTACCGCACTGATATGTCAAAAAAAAAAAGAAAAATTTTACATTTTTACGCCTGTAGGAAAAATATTGTACCTAACACTTGCGGAAAAATTCATTTTCCGCACTTGTTAGGTAAATAGCTATTGTGCAAAAAAAAAAATTATTCCGATACCGGGAATCGAACCCGAGCCTCCTGGGTGAAAGCCAGGTATCCTAGCCACTAGACCATATCGGATATACTAATATTATGTAGGCTTCCCTTATAATTCCAAAATGAAATTATAGCTACTGTTTATATCCTATTCACAATTCAAAGGTAAAGGTAAATTTATCACCTTTCCCTATCAAATAGCACTAAAAGGTGATAAGTTTTACCTTTACCTTTGGACATCGGATTGTGAATAGGATATTAGATGAAAGTTTTTTTCTATACGTTGTTTCTGGTTGAATTTTTTTTGTCAAAATGCTTCGCGATTTTAACTAATAATTTATTCCCAATTCTTAATTATTCATGGAAAGTTAAGTTTCTTCCATTATCAACATATTTACGACCCATACTGTATAAGAGCTTATTACGGAATTCATTTTAGCAACCTGTTTTGAGTTAGGTACGTAATAAGTTGTATTATCGTACTAGTGATGTAATGAACTCATTACGTAACTCATTTTTATTGAAAAACGGCACATAGCTCTCAAATACTTTAGGGATAGTAACTACTGATTATACATATACTTAACTTACTAAGTACCTATCCTATATATGTCATAGGTCTGTTTCTGCAGAAATCACAAACCAGTCAGAGCGAATTTGATTGGTTGAAAACAGTCAGAAAACTAGGTACTTTCAACCAATGAAATTCACTCTGACTGGTTTGTGATTTCTGCAGAAACAGACCTGATAATTATTGGTTACTGCGACGTTTTGTCGCCAGATTTAAAGATGGGCTTTAAAATAATAAGTACCGTAGAATGGGGTGAATAGGATCACTTTTATACTTTGAAGTGGTGCCTCTCCCAAAGTAATAGAGTGAAAATTCTGATGTACATATCAAAACATCAGTCTATACCTGGGCTATCCATTTTTGAGTTCCAATATTTTTTATGCCGACTTGTTGTCCATATATATTTTTTTTTTTTGGCTGATCCTATTCACCTGCCATTGTGGTGAATAGGATCGGCAATGATCTTATTATGCCTTATCGTATTCACCTTCTTGTGGGGTGTATAGGATTGCAGAAATTTTATATGTGAACTCTACAGATTCTTTTTTTTTTTGTTTTTCACTCAAAAACAGGGATCAAACGCATTTTTTTATTGACTAGGTCATGAGCGCGCTTCGCGCGCTTTTTTTTTAAATCAAGTCCATCAAAATAATTATAAAATGGAAAATATTTATTAGGTGTTGTACAAAAAACAGCATAATTTTTGATTTAAATGTACATTATACATTAAATGTAACAGTGAGATAAGTTGTATAGATGTTATTCTAGTGAATAAATTTCAAATGCGATGGATGGAGTTGGTGACTAATTATTTTTGTATGGTATATCATAATGAATTTAAGTCGATCACATTTCTTGAATGTACGGTGTGCGTATGTCTACTTATCTCATTTTGTTTTATGGAACTCGTAGGTGTAGGTATACATTTTTCGAAGTGGTTTATTTAAAACAGAATAATCATAACCATAATCAAGGTGTTATTATAAACCGAGTTAGTAACTATTTATGTGCTGTGGTATAATACGAGATATCGAGTCTTAATTTTTTTTTTTACACTTTCATGAAGTTCCTTTTTTTTATTAGGCCAGTTATTGAAGTCTACTCGATCAACATTTTACTGCCAACAATCGAAAAAAAATTTTTTTAAAAGATTTTAAATGCAATTGCTCAATTATTCAACTTACATTTTTTGTTTGTACCTACGTGGTAGACATAAATTTTAAATGTGATCAAAGTAGTTGGCGAATTATTACTTTTGCGGTATATCGTAATGACTTTAAATCGATCTTATTTTTTGAATATACGGTGTGCATATGTCCAGTGCAACTTATTCTATTTTATGGAACTCGTAAGAATCCAAAGTTTAAAGAGTGCTAAGTCTTCATGTCGTTCTTCGTTATTTTCAATTATTTATGTTTATCGTGTTCAGGTTTTTGTCTTGTGATCTTCAAATATCTTGTAAATAAGTTGTAAAGATCTTCTGAAATCACCTATGACTGCGAAATTTCAAAATTAAATTATCAAAAAAACAATTCTTTAAAAACATGGTTTTTGACAACACTATTGCCTCTTTGTTTCCCTGACTAAACTTTCAATGAGTCCCACGAACGAACTCTGAAAAGCGCCACATAAAGTTGTCCGTGACTAATACATCCTTTCTGGAGATCAATTACTATCCTATCAAATGTTTGTCCTTGAGATTTGTTAATCGTCATTCATTGCAAAGGCTAATTTTATTTTAAAATTGTCATTGTTTGAACGTAAAGGGGTAGACGTTTTCGCAGTAGAGTGTTATTCGATTTATGAACACTATTTCTCCCTGTTTATCTACAGTCAATATCTCACAGCGTAACAGATTATCCCCAAGTTCCAGAACTAAAGGCCTTGTACCATTGCAAAGGCCTGCACTGATGCTTAGATTTCTAATAAGCATACAATAGAATTCGTTTTCAATCGTAATTCATGGAGCGGGAAT